TAAAAATTCACGTACTATTTAAAATTCAGCGATAATTTTGTTCTTTTTTCTTTTTTATTATAAGTATTATGAAAATAAAGTCTTTTAATTCGTCTCCCTGACCCAACCCAAGTTGGGGCAAAATCAGGGGAAAAACCCAACCTATGGTTTGCAAGGGTAGGTGAGGGAGAGGTATACATAAATGGTATATTGCTGTATTCAACAAGTACCAGAAAGACTGAGTGAGAATAGGGACAGAAACAACCCTGGTCTCTGGGCGGAAACATTTATTTCAAATGAAATAACTCTCAAGCAAACAGAAGCCAGACAATGCATGTGAATGCCACATGACTTTAATATCTGTCCAAAAATACCCAGTGGACACAACACACAGGGACAGACTATGAGCATATGGCTAGTTTAGTGAAAATAACTAAATTCAGGTACAAAGAAAAAACAAAAGCCAAAGCTAGCACCTGAAAATCTTCTTTATGGAGGGTACCCATAAAGAGGACTACCTCCCATTTGGCTATCAGATCTCAAAACAACAGCAAAGAAAACTGGCACATCCTTAAAGAAGTTTGTGCGGGCCGGGCGCGGTGGCTCACGCCTGTCATCCTAGCACTCTGGGAGGCCGAGGCGGGAGGACTGCTCAAGATCAGGAGTTCGAGACCAGCCTGAGCAAGAGCGAGACCCCCGTCTCTACTAAAAACAGAAAGAAATTAATTGGACAACTGAAAATATATAGAAAAAAAATTAAAAAAAAAAAAAAGAAGTTTGTGCAAAGAACCTCAGGCTCCTGGAGTGACGGCAGCACTCTGCGGAGCTGAGGAGGGAGGATCCCTCCACGGTCAGGAGTTCGAGACCAGCCTGAGAAAGTGCAAGACCCGTCCTCTACATAAACAGAAAGAAATTAATTGGCAACTAATATTATATATAGAAAAAAATTAGCCGGCATGGTGGCGCATGCCTGTAGTCCCAGCTACTCGGGAGGCTGAGGCAGGAGGATCGCTTGAGCCCAGGAGTTGGAGGTTGCTGTGAACGAGGCTGATGCCACGGCACTCACTCTAGCCTGGGCAACAGAGTGAGACTCTGTCTCAAAAAAAAAAAAAAAAAAAAAAAAAAAAAAAAAAAAAAAAGATATGGTTTCTGAAAGGAATGGCCCAGGAAAAAAGGAAAAATTGATGATGCAAAGTAGACATGATGATTTTTTAAGAGTAAAGTCTTTGAAGAGATGAAAGGAGCAGAGACAGACTGTCCACTACAACTCAAGGCAAAGTAGGATGTGTGGCCAAAGACGTAGATATTTGTTGGATTTGGGGGTCACAGGAGGCGAAAGGTATGATGGCTTCTCTTTCATCCGTGACTCACGAGGTGAGATCAGTAGAGGGGTGACAGAGATGTGGGGAGAGAGGAAGAGCTGTCAAAATAGTCGTCTCTGAGGGGAAAACTGTTGTGACTGTTCCGTGCTAGCATATTGGAAGTGTCTCGTCATGTTAGATGAAAACTTGAGAGTCACGGTCACACCTGTGACATGAGCTCAGTTAGCAGGGGGTTGCGTGATTTTCTCCAATGATGGTCAGATGTTCAGATGCAGGTTCAACATCCATGAACAGGGAGTGGAAAAACGTAAAGAAACAAGTAACTATTAAAATTTTCTTTTTTTTTTTTTGAGACAGGGTCTCGCTCTGTTGCCCAGGCTAGAGTGAGTGCCGTGGCGTCAGCCTCGCTCACAGCAAACCTCACACTCTGGGCTCAAGACGATCCTCCTGCCTCAGCCTCCAGTAGCTGGACTACAGACATGCGCCACCATGCCCGCTAACTTTTTTTCTATTATATATTTAGTTGGCCATTAATTTCTTTCTATTTATAGTAGAGACGGGGTCTCGCTCTTGTCAGGCTAGGTCTTCGACTCCTGACTCCGAGAGCGAGCTCTCCCCCTCGGCCTCCCAGAGTGCCCGGGATGACACGGTGTGAGCACCCGCCCGGCCTCCATAGTAGATTATTAAAGTCTCCCATATTGCACAGCGAATGGGCGTGTGACAGGTACCATCTGGGGGTGGGTTTTTTTGTAGGTGCAACGGGGCACCCTGGCAAAGGCAGGCCAAGCAACAGGCGGAAAGGGCTCTGGGTTGCGGGATTACTTCTGCATGCCATGTGGCCCAGCCGGTCGATGTGGCAGTAGCGTCGGCCTCGGCACTGCCGGCGGGTGGCAGGGCAGACGGGCGCCGTGGCTGGTCTCCTCCACCTTCCTCGCCGAGCTCCAGCCGCGCCACGTCGTAGTCGCCCGCCCAGCTGTAGCGCGGGTGCAGGGACCACGGTCTTCACGGGCCGCGTCTGCACGGACGCCGACGGGCGGTCCAGGTTGTGGGCGCCCAGGACCACCGTCCACGCCGCCAGCGCTCTCCTCTAGGGGGTCGAGAGCCAGAGGGTTAGCCCGCCGGCCATCGGACTTGGGGGGCAGGGGGGTAATGCTTCACTTGTGTGAGTGGTGGCCGTCCCCGCGCCTGCCTCAGTGTGCTCGCTGAGACACTGGGCCCACGTGGGCACAGTGAGTGCAGTGTGTCGTCTTGGTGTCAGAGCATGATCGTAGTATGATGTGCCTGTATCATAGTATGATCCTAGTATGAGGTTTAGTATCATAGTATGGTCCTAGTATGATGTATTAGTATCATAGTATGGTCCTAGTATGATGTTTTAGTGTCATAGTATGGTCCTAGTATGATGTATTGGTAATCATTAGCTTATGGGTTCTAGTATGAATGTATTAGTATCATAGTATGGCCTTGCCTATGGAACTGTATTGGTATCCATAGGTATGTTGTATTAGTGTCATAGTATGATCATAGAATGTTGTATTACTATCATAGTATGATCACAGTATGATGTATTAGTGTCATGTATGATCAATGGCCATGATGTGTTAGTTATTACGGTATGATCATAGTATATGTTGTATAGTATCATAGTGATGTCATAGACAATGATGTGTTAGATATCATGGTATGATCATAGTATTGATGTTTAGTATCGCAATACTATGTTGTTATTAGTCAAGTTAATGGTATAGCATGATGTGTTAAGTATCATGGTATGATCATAAGTATGATGTGTCAGTATTACAGTATATCATCAGTATCAGTATTAGTGTATAAGTATGATCACAGTATGATGTATGTGTCAGTAGCATGATCATAGTATGACTGTATCAAGTATTAGTATGATCATAGTTATGATTAATTAGTATTCATGCAATGATTCACAATGTGCATTAGTATCACTACGTAGCTCATAGCATGATTGTATTAATATCTAAGGCATGCATCACAGTATGATTGTATTAGTGTCAATAAGTGATGATCATCAGCTATGATGTGTCAGATCATAGTATGATTCACAGTATGCATGTATCAGTATCTAGTATGTCATAGTATGTTGTTTAGTATCATAGTATGATCACAGTATAGATATATTAGTATTCTAGTATTAATCATAGGCATGTTGTATCAGTATCAGTATGATCACAGATATGATTGTATCAGTATCAATAGTATGATCCATAGCAATGATGTATTGGGTATATAGTATATCATAGCATCGTTGTATCAGTATCATATGATCAATAGCATGATGTATCAGTATTCCAACTAGTAATGATCATAGTATGTTGTACTTAGTCATCATAGATATGGAATCATTAGTGTGATGCCCAGGGCATCTCCAACTCAGAGTTTTCCCTGCGGTGCGCCAGCTCTCACCTGGCTCCCACCTTTGCTCCTTCTCTTCTCCCAGCTCTCCCCTCAGCATCACCTCTCAGACTGCCCTCCCTGGACCACCGGCATCTAAAGCCTTTCTTTATCCTGATCACTCTACCCTTGACCCTGCTTCCCATTTTCTCCTCATACTACCACGTTTCCCTTGAAATAAGAACCTACTCATCAAACAAGCCCTAGCAGGGATGGTCTAAGATGTGTGCAATAGAAGCCCACCCGGGAAATCGGCCCCTAGTGACGGGCCGTGGCTATAAAAATCAGCCCGAGTATGGGCTGGCTATGAAAAGCAGCCCTGTGATGGCGTGGCTATGAAAATCCAGCCCAGTGATGGGCGGGCTATGAAAATAAGCCCTAGTGGTGGGCGTGGCTATGAAAAGAGCCCTTAGTGGTGGGGCGGTGCTATGAAAATCAGCCCTAGTGATGGGCGTGCTATGAAAATCAGCTGTTATGGGTGTGGCTATGAAAATCAGCCCCTATTATGGGCGTGGCTTATGAAAATCAGCCTCTAGTGGTGGGCATGGCTATGAAAATCAGCTCCTAGTGATGGGCGTGGCTATTGAAAAATACCCTAGTGATGGGCGTGCTAGGAAAATCACCCTGTGGTTGGGCCGTGGCTATGAAAATCAGCCTGGTGATGCGGCGTGGCTATGAAAATCAGCCCTAGTCGATCGGGCGTGGCTTGCGCAGCGCATCTTGACAACCCATGCGTGTCGTCGCGGAGCGGGAAAGAACAGAAGCAGCCTTCCCATCCGCCCCGTGAGAGTCTAGTGCTCCACAGGAGAGATCGGGGCCAGTGGTTCTAGAGGAAACAGAGTCGCAAGACATTCAGGATGGGATTCGGGGTTTGGGAGAGTGAGGATGATGTTCCAGAAGAAGACGACTTCACTTGTACCGTACTTAAAAAAAAAAAAATCCTCTGAAAATAAGTCCTAGGGTGTCTTCTTGAGGGAAAATAAATATAAGACCCTGTGTTATTATCGGAGAAACACGGTATTCATTGATATCAGTGACATTGATCTGTCTGTTCGTCTATTCCCTGTCTTGGGCCCCAGAATGTTCTCCCAGGGATTGCAGGGGCTTTGCTGGGCTCGTTCACTGCTCTACTCTCAGGGCCTGTGAACCCTGGCCTGCAGCCGGTTCTCAACAAGCATTTCTTCACAGTGGCTCAATGCATTTGATTTAGAACATTTGTCAGTGGCAGACTCCAACCACCAAGGCAGGGTCTGTTTTCCATCAGTCCCTTTCTCCTTTCCCTCATTCCCACTTCCTCCCTGGCCAGCGTGGGCCGGGATCAAAGGCATGGGCGTTTATTGGCCACAGTGCCAGGGACGGGGGGAGCTTTCATTGTGGACAGTCCTTTGCACTCCGAGCCAGCCACACTGCACTGTCCCCGCTTGGGAGCTTGTGGTCACATCAGCTAATGTAGATTTGACCATCTCGACCCGTTGTTTTTCAACCCAAGCAGAACCCTGGGGAGCTTTCAAAATGCTGATTCTCTGGGCATGACCCCATAACCATTGAAACAGAAGCTCTTGGGAAACAGTATTTTAAGAGCTGTCTAGAGAGTCTCAGGCAAAACCCCCAGTTGCATCTAGCCCCTTTTGTGTTTTTTTTTGGCATGCCTTTCTTCACCATAAGCATAGCAAAGATTCAAAGCCCGGAACTTTCAGGAGAGTTAGGAAGGAAGGTCCTAGGTAGGCACTCAGACTGTTTTCAGTATTGTTGAATATTTGGCCACACTTTGCTAACAGACTCTACCCCGCCACACACACAGTCCTGCATTCTGTCCTTTTTCCATTAAAAAATAAAAGTAATTTCAGAGCTATCAGAAGAGGGATTGATGTCATTCATTGACTACAGAGACAGAGAGACAGATATCTGGCAATTCCTCTATGCCAAGCCCTGTGCCATGGATTATAACGATAAGCAGGAGAGATTTTATCCTGCCCATACAAACTCTAGAGTTGAGAGAGATGAACAGTTAGGATAAATTGCAGGAGGTCCTATCACGTGAGCATTACAAGGTAATGTTACAGAAGAATTATTTTTCGTTATGTTAAGCTGTCACTCAAAGAACATTCTTTTCTTTCCTTTTTCCTTCCTTCCTTCCTTCTTTCTGTTTCTTCTTTCTTCCTTCCCTACCTCTCTTCTTTCCCTTCTTCTTTCCTTTTTTTTTTTTTTTTTTTATTCTAGGAGGAGTAAGTGCATGACCCGTTGAGGAATTCAATATACACATTAAGTACCCTTTGCTTAAGACATCTCAAATCAAGTAATACTTTATTTCAAATTTCTGTCCTGTCAATAGCTTCTTGGCTTGAGAGAGTTACCAAGTATGGCTTGTGACAAGCGCTCATCCATCTACTTAAATCACACGCAGTATTTCAAACTGTTGAACGTTCCAAATTATTGGTAACAAAATGAAATAACGTCAGATTTCCAGACTTAATTACTGTACTGGGGTCAACGTAATTCTAGTGACTGAAAAAATAAGCATCAATTAAATAGCTAAACATTAACTTGTATCTAGTAATGTCTTGCTACGTAAGCTACTTTCCTTATGGCATTAATATCCATCAAAAGCCAAAAAAAAACACAACAACAACAAAAAAAACAACTACACATAAAAATTCACGTACTATTTAAAATTCAGCGATAATTTTGTTCTTTTTTCTTTTTATTATAAGTATTATGAAAAATAAAGTCTTTTAATTCTGTCTCCCCCTGACCTCAACCCAAGTTGGGGCAAAAATCAGGGGAAAAAACCCAACCTATGGTTTGCAAGGGGTAGGTGAGGGGAAGAAGGTATACATAAATGGTATATTGCTGTATTCAACAAGTACCAGAAAGACTGAGTGAGGAATAGGGACAGAAACAACCCTGTCTCTGGGCGGAAACATTTATTTCAAATGAAATAACTCTCTCAAGCAAACAGAAGGCAGACAATGTCATGTGAATGCCACATGATCTGTCCTAAAAAAATTAAATAAATAAATAAATTAATTAATTAATTAATTAAAAAAGAAAGAAAAGGAGCTGAGAGGTTTGGTCTGATTGCTGAGCCCATGTTGTGTCTTTGCAACTGATTACCTCTTTGCTTTCTGGGAGCTTAGGAACTACACTCATCATTCACAGTTTGTTTTCCCATTCTATCTACTTGAGGGCATTGGTTTATTCCCATCAGAAATAATGTCCATTAAGGCCGGGCGCGGTGGCTCACGCCTGTAATCCTAGCACTCTGGGAGGGCCGGCAGGGATTGCTCGAGGTCCAGGATTTGAAACCAGCCTGAGCAAGAGCGGGACCCTGTCTCTACTATAAATAGAAAGAAATTAATTGGCAACTAATATATATAGAAAAAAATTAGCGGGCATGGTGGCGCATGCCTGTAGTCCCAGCTACTCGGGAGGCTGAGGCAGGAGGATCGCTTGAGCCCAGGAGTTGGAGGTTGCTGTGAGCTAGGCTGACACCACGGCACTCCCATAGCTGGGCAACAGAGTGAGACTCTGTCTCAAAAAAAAAAAAAAAAAAAAAAGAAAGAATGTCCATTAGACAGCAAGTTTTCCATTTTGGACCCATAACTCTGGAATTCTGTTTCCCAGCATCACTGAGGGTGAGCAATGTGGTTTTGAAAATCCTAG